CGAAGGGTGGGTAGCTGTGAGGAGCAGATCAGGCTCTGGAGGCGCCCTCAGCCCCCGCCGGCGCCTCAAGGGGGCCCTCGTGCGGGCGGGGGCCCGGAGGGTGTTTACCTTCCCCCTGGTCGAAAGCCAATGCCGCCATCTTTCAGCTAGCACGCGTCACTTCCGGCTCCGCGGGAGCGGGAGCGAGTGTGGGAGTGGAGTGGGGGCAGGGCTGTCCCACGCCCGCGGGGCCCCCCGTACCCGCTGGCCATGCCAGCGGGCCCCGCCAAGGGGATCTGGCGGCCCCGCGCTGCTGCTGCGGCGAGCTCGGCCCCATGCGGTTTCCCTGGCCGTCGGGGCTGGGAACGCTTGGCTGTGCTAGTCCCCTCGCAAACATACCTCTTCGTCTGCACGAGCGGTGGGCTTGAGCCACTGCGGTGCGCCCACCCTCGACAAGTTTAGGGTTAGGAAGCCCGGAAAATGCCTTTTGGCATCTTGCTCTCGGTGGGGGTCGGGGAATTGGGGACGACGCGGAGAGAGCTTTGCTATATCTACCTGTGTGAGGGAAGTGACTACATCTGCGCCAAATGACATCATTTTTGTATGGCAACTTGCAGGGTATTATTGCGTCACAGTTGACTAGGCTTGTTGCACAACACGTTTCAGAAATACATTTCCAGAAGTGGGAAAATTCATAGAAAACGGCATGTCTGCACCACACAGAAATGCCAGATCTAAAAACGCCGTTCTCTTTCTATTTGTGTCAAAATAAGATGACAAGAATGTTCAGAGGACAGTGATTTGGGGGGAGGGGGTTCATTTTTAACAAATCGGCTGTAGAAGTCTAGCTAATGCTTTTTAAATATCGCCTTTTCCTGATTTAGAATATAAAACTACATTATAGGACTTTTGTAAATTCATTGTTGTGAAATCTCTTTGTGGGAAAAGTGTAGATGACAAATACACAGTTGGAGGCCAGTGGTGCTACAACTAACCTTAAATCATCCATCGCCCATTTCTGAATCTAAACTGAGGAATTTCTTCTACCCCCACCCCCACCCCCCGCCGCCATTTTCTCTCTAGACCAATATCCCGATTTACTTTGAGATGTGTGGCTAAAAGCGATCATTATCGCTTTCTAGCAAACTTGAACTTGTCATGTTTCCCAAGAGGCCAAAACAGCACACGGTGTACTATTTTGCTAAAGTAAACTACTTCATGGGAAAAAAATAGAGAAACACCTTAATCTTCTGGAAATAGGGAAATATGCGTCCCTTTTCCCATTTAAACTATAAAACAAGCTTTAAAAAAGTATCAACCACAAAATAAACTTTAAAATGGCATACATTCAACTTTGAATATTTGAGTTTTCATACATTGTTCCTGAGCATCTAAAAGCAATGAATTTTGATTTTTGTACATTAGCTAACATTTTGAGCTATACATGACATAGTGTGGCATTAAACTGTAGAGAAATGTCAGTTCTTGATTCGATCAGGAACTGAAATGTGTCCTGTGTAGCACGAATACATACATACCTACAGTGATGTCATGAGCCACTGTGATCAGTACAACCTTATCGTGACATCATATGGTTTCATATGCGGCATTTCATGATCCAAAATGTACTTTTTTATACTTTACTGATTCTGAAACTGGGCTGCGTCTATATATTTACTATGTAGAGCCCACCCCTGAAAAATGTTATTTTAAATCACTGATGCCGCTTTCACTCTCATTTAAAAAAAAAAAAGTGTTTTACAGAAAAGTCTGGTAGAGTAAGAAGCATTCTGCTTCTCCAAAACCAAGCAAAGTAAAACCGGGTCATTTAAATAAATGAACTATAGGTAATTCCTGTCTTCAGTTACTTTTCCCACCAATTACTGGAATAATGGAAGCTCCTAAATACCTTGAGGACATCCTTTCACACTGGTAGAGCCCCTTGGAGCAGATGGAGGCTGTCTTTTCCTAACCCTCTAGCTTAAGTATTTCAGAATACAGTCCTTAAATCCCATATCTAGCAGGCCCAGCTGTCCGGAGGCAGGCTAGAGACTTGGGACTGGGAGTGGTAGTGGAATTAGAAGGAGGTTCCTACCCTGAGTTCTGAGGATTTAGGGTACTGTATACCCTCCCCGCTCCTTTTAAAAAAGAAGTTGAGGCTTTTCGGAAATCCAGAGTCTGTGGTAATTATCTTGGAAATCGCCATTCATGTAATTAGCCCCCACCCCAATCTCTAGGAATTGAAAAGTTATATCATCAGCAAACTCTAATAAAGCTGCATATGCATTCTTTCTTCTCTTGAAAACTTTTTTGCCATGCACTCTATAGTTGTTCAGGGTTTTTAAGGCATCTTGTGGGGTCCAATCTACCTCTGCCTCAGGGTCCATCGGTATCTCCCAAATGAGTACTAACTTCTGCGGGTACACACCAAGACCTGTACACTGGCACATTCCAAAAAGGATGGTGGCTGTTGTCTTAAGCATTATTTCCTGATCCCTATCCCACAGGGAGCCTTCAAAATGCAATTTGAGGGTCCCCAAATTTTCCAGGCTTTCAAATTTAACAGGCAAATAGAATAATTGTGAGTATTGTAAGATTCCTGGCTAATGCTCACACATCTTGGTCATCGTTGGTCACTTGTCACTTGGAATGGCTCCTCTTAGCTTCTCTCCTATTACCGCTGACTTTCTGATCTGTCACTGCCTCTCCACTTTTCTCCAGCTCGCGCTCTCTGCACTTCCCGACTCACAAACTTGACTCTCCCTCCACTTCCGTAGCAAAGCAAAAACCTAAAGTTATATCACAAGGAAACATCAAACCCTTAAAACAAATCATGGCTTCTAGAGATCTCTACACAGGGATGTCCTTTCTGGTCATCTCTAAGGCAGATCTGTAATCGTTTGGTGAGAACCCTTTCCTGACCATATCACTGTTTCTCCCATCTCCTCCCTTCCCCAGTCTCATGAACCCCCATACCCATCCCCTGGGCCCAGGGGAATACCAAATCCCTAAGCATCATAAAGTGATGTGGGTGCAAAAACAAAAACCCTTCAAAAGGCACGCCCTCCATGAAACAGAGTTTGTCTATTTACATTTGTGTTATTTCACTAATGTGGGAGATACCTCAAGAAAATGAATTGACAATGTGACTTGTATCTACACAGCCAAGAGCAGGGGTCCCCAACCCCCCAGGCCGCGGACCTGTCCCTGGCCTGTTAGGAACCAGGCCGCACAGCAGGAGGTGAGCAGCAGGCAAGCAAGCGAAGCTTCATCTGTATTTGCAGCCGCTCCCTAGCGCTAGCATCACCTCACCACCTCAGCTCCCCCTCAGATTATCAGGACTTAGATTCTTATAGGAGCTCCGGCCCCTGGTGCCAAAAAGGTTAGGGACCGCTGGCCAAGAGGACTCAACAATGTGATTCTTCCTGGAATCAAACGCTTTTTCCCCATTTCACTTCCACTCTTAAAGCCCTGCTGGCAGTTCTTAGAATAACTGCTTTGTGCCTGGGGCCAGCCAGTAAGGGTTCAGAAACATTCGGTTTGGTCTCAGAGTCTCCAACACATTATGACAGTTTTAGACAACATAGGGTGCTATGAGCAAGCACAAAGTGGGGGATGTAATCTGGGCTTGGGAGGGTCAAGCAGAGCTTCTCAGAGGCAGTGATCTCTAAGTTCAGTCCAAAGGGAAGAAGGAAAGAAAAGAGTAAAGGATACCCACAGGGCAGTGTGTTCCAGGCCTGGGGGAGGCAGCAAGGCGCCTTTATTTAGAGAACTGCTGATAATTTAGGAGGGATACAGTATAGGATACAAGAAGGGGAGAGGAAAAAGAAGCAAAAATCAAGAAGCCTGCCGAGTATAATCGGTGGCAGTCAGGGCTTTTTCCCTCCTGTGTTGCCTTTCACCCCAAACTTTTTCCACTGTACCATGTTATTATAGTGATTAACGTATTAAATGATCTTCACACTGTTGCATTTTTTTTTACTTCTACTTAATTCCATAAATTGTTCATTTGTAATCTACTATACTAATTTACTTATTCATGTCATAAATATTTATAAGTACCTACTACGTACCAAGTCCTGCTCTAAGCACGAGGAATCTATCAATGACGAAAACATATAAACATCCTTGCCTTCTTACAGATTACTTAAATTAGGTAATCACCAAAATAAATAAATAAATGCTATGGCCTATTAGAATGTGCAATGGGAAAGAATAAAGCAGGATAAAGAGATTCGGAGTATCCAGGGGGAAGGGTGTCATTTGAATCTTGACTTGAAGGAGACTAGGAACCAGACTGTGTATAGCCTTGTAGGCCATTGTGAGATCTTTGGGCTTTGAGGAATTGGGAAGGTTTTGAGAAGAGGAGCAATATTAATACTCAGGCTGCTATGTAAATAATAGAATTAGGCATAATGTACAACATAATGACTATAAACACTACTGTAGGGTTTATTTGAAAGTTGCTAAGGAAATAGATCCTAAAAGCTCTCATCACAAGGAAAAAAACTTTTATTTTTCTGTATGAGATGACAGATTTTAATAAGACTTATTGTGGTAATCATTTCACTATATATTAGTCAAATCATTATGCTATACACCTTAAACTATATAGTACTGTATGTCAATTATATCTCAATAAAACCGAAAGAAAAAACACAGGAAATATTACACAAAAAAATAAAATGGGCTGTTGAAAAAAAGAATTTAGGCAGACATGGGGAAGCAGGAAGCTGGGTAAGATTATTCCACCAATGGGGTGGAATGGAGGCTACAGTGGAGACAGAAATGGCCAGTCTCTGAAAATATTCTGAAAGAAGAGCAAATAGGATTTCCTGGATATAGGAAGAAAGGAAAGAGAGGTGTCAAGGTTTCTGGCCTGAGCAACTGGAAGGATGGAATTGGCATTTCTTGAGATCTGGAAGACTTCAAGAGGAGCAGATTTGAAGTAGGGAGCAGGGAGGAGAAGATGCAAGGACTAGGCCCCAGGGTGTGCCAAGGGTAGGGAGCCATCCAGGAGAACATAAGGGACTGGTCCAGAAGGCTAGAGTTATGCTGGTATGCTATACACTGAAGAGACAGGTACTGTAAGTTGCCAAACATCCACCATCAATAAAAGATGCAGTGAACATTGCCATTTTTAACTGAATATATTTACCTTGAAATACAGTGCAGATAATGCACCATTGAAAATGAAAACATTAAAAACAATTTTTGTAAAGTTAATTTTTGTGCTCCTTATAAACCAATGAATAACAATACTGTGCTTCAGAAGTTTCAATATGCAAGCCACATATTCCTGTGATGAGATTGGCACATCAAAGAGTCAGAAGATAGAGAACTATCAAGGCTACAGAGAGGAGTAGCCAGTGAGATAAGAGTAAAAGAGTGTGGGTATCTAGCTAAGCTGGATAGAAAAGTACTGTGTGTTAAACATCCCTATCAAAAAGTGAAATTAACATTACCATTTTAATGGAATATATTTACTTTGAAACACAATATGGACAATGCCCCCCTTGTAACTGAAAATGTTAAAAAGAACAAATTCCCCCCAAAAGTTAATCATTTTTATGTTCTTTATGAACCGATGAAA